AAATCCCACCAGAGGTTCTGGTCTAGCCGCTCGGACCATCTCCTCACAACAATAACTAATCGTTACGTGACGTACGAGGTAAGACCTCTTTAGGCGAAACCCGAATATTTCCCCCGGCCTCGCATTCCGTCGGCCGCCACGTAACAGGCTTCTTTTGTTTCTCTCGGCCTAGTCTCGTGTGAGCGGCCCTTTTATATTAAAGTATCACATTGCTGCCTCTCTCCTCGGTCGGGCCAGGAAGCCGTGTCGAATCGAACTTAAGTATTCTGTCTTGAGCGGTCGACACGTTAATTCCCGTTTTTTGCGAAGTGCGAACATCATTTAATTTAATTTCCGTTTCCACGAAGTGCCAACTTCATTTAATTTAATTCCCGTTTCCGCGGAGTGCCAACTTCATTTAATTTAATTCCTGTTTTCGCGAAGTGCGAACTTCATTTAATGTATTTCATTTGTCGTGATGTGTGAATCTTCAAATAACTACTTGTCGCTAAAGGCGACCCTTTATGGAATTTCATCATTTCGCGAAGTGCGAAGTTTCCTTCAAATTAATACAGTGTTTGGCGAAGTCTGATACCTTTCGGGAAATTCCGCCTGTTCGCGAATGGCGAAGCCCCGGTTGTATTTTTGGGATTATTTTTCGAGCTGTCTCGGGCGCGATCCAAGCACGAACTTGCGAGGTAAAAATGCTGCATTAAGCAGCCCAATGCGAAGAGTTTTTTTAGTAATCAATAATCGTTATATTTGCTGTAGCATTCTTATAGAACTGTGCCTATCTTCGATTTAGCCGTCTCATTTATAAATCGAGAAAAGTTGAATAATTCTCACCCCCTTGTCAATTTCTAGTCTCGAGATCCGATCCAAATGAGTTGGATTTCAATTATTTCGGAGAGAAGTCAAGCATTGAAAGGGAAGTATGTAAGAGTGTCCGAAACCATTCCGTATCCCACGTAGATTATTTGCGCCGATCATTTTGAAACTGCTACTTTTTCTTGCGCCTTTCTTTTCTTTTTTTGCTGTCTCGATTGAGCCGAATCCTTAAGGGGTTATACCACTTTGAAATTTTCAAAAAATCAAAAAAATTTTTACGCGTTTTTTTTAAACTGTATTTTAAAAATCGGTGGGCATTCTAGCTCCGCCAATTTTCAATCAATCGTCTTGATTCTTTTTCTATTTTATTCGTGATATCTTTATCTAGTGAAATACGTATGGTTTTTTCAATGTACTGATATTCGCATTTTTATGCAANACCTTACTGTACTTTAATTTGGATAAAAACGTTTTAATTCTTAAAAAAAATTCTTGAAAAACCGAAATTTTGGGGTGGGTCAAAGTGGTGTAACCCCTTAAGTTGCTTTACTTGCGTATCTAGTCGACGGCCCGTCCGTTCACCCTGGAATATTCTCTTCGCGAAGTCAGTTCGTCTTTCCCGATTGGAGTTAGTTCTGCGTAGGTATTGGCGTGCCTGGGACCCTCCTTTTCGCATTAGTTTTACAGAATTAATATTCTCGCCCCGTAATCGACCTTGGCCTTCCAGTTATACTCCAGTACAGTGAGATATACTCTCGTTTAGTTAGTTTTCTGTTCTTTTGGCGGCCTACGAGCCGCCTTTTCTACTTCATGCTCATCGTCGCGCACACCGTCCCTTTGAGCGTGTTACGAGGCTACCCGTTTTTCCTCAAAATAGAGAGGCGCGCATTCTACTAAGTATGAGTAAGTTACCGAAAGATAAATATCGAATCCAAAGCAACGACAGTATCGTCCGATTAAACCGAAAAAATAACAACGAGTGGAGCAATCCTCGAGGAATTGTTTGGCTTATTCGCACGCACTCCGCATCGAGCTGCACTTTGGACCAAAACACGGACCTACTCTTCCGCCAACCTAGTGACTACCTCAGCACTTCCGATCAAACTTTTAACAACAAAATCCAGAAACAAAGGAACCGGACCCTGTCCTCACGGGCATCTCAAGGATAAGATCTCGTATAAAAGCAGTGCCGAAAAGCAGCCGCCGGTAGTATAGTAGCAGTATGGCAGTATGGCAGTAGTATAGAAGAGTCCAAGACAACGTACAGAGCAGTCTCAGGAATGAGGCTGGAGCTCTCTGAAGAGCTGACCGTACCGTAGTAACAGTTGTGCGTTTCGGTACTCCGACATCCACGAGCCAACAGTGAGAAGAACGACGGCGCTGCGAATTACGGACCAGCGGGAGAATCTTAGGAAGCTCCAACCCTAGGGCACACCCCGGTTTGAAAGCATTCACGTGTAGTTCATCGCAACCGGCAGGACGTAGGTGAGACGTCACCGGAAGTAAAAGCCTCTGCGAAGCCAAGGTACAGGTCCTCTTCGAAGAGTTCCACTCTTCCATTCTTGCATTCTTTTAATCTTTTATCACTCTATTTCGAACCCTATTCCAAATTACTAACCCACAATAGAATTCGGTATCTACCTCCCGGTAACAACTATAAAATTCTAACTCTTCAAGTATGAATCGCAACTCCTTAGCCGCCCTTGCTGAGGAAGGCAAAGCGCACCTTGCAAGCAAAGAATTCCGCGTCAGCATTCCGCAACAGATACGCGGACGTATCTCGATTACACTTCCGCGAGGTGCTAGCGCGCGGCCTACAACGTCCTTGTCTCGACTCGCGACGATCTGCTTAGCGCAGCACATATTTGCACACCTTGCCCCCATGGACATTGTACTCCTTATATTATAAATAGAACTGCTTCATTCAATGCAACACAACGACTTGGTTCTCACGAAACCTTAAAACCCTCCTATGTCCTCTTTCCAATACCCTTTGAGGACCAAAAAACCTATCAATCCCACCAAAGTGGTTGACCTAGCCGTTCGGGTTATCCTCTCCATATCTCTCAAATAATAAACTGGCTACGTGTTCGTACGAGTTAATATCTCTACAAACAGTATACCGCTCCGAGGAATCTACAAAATTCCCCCGGCCTCGCTAGCCACTCGGCCGCCACGTAACAGAACTGGTGACAGCGGTGGGATCTAGGGATCTTTTCATCTGAAATTCGATAGGGTCCGAATTAATCTCAATTAATTGGATGTCCCATCGACCCTTTCATTTTTCCCAATTTTCATAAACTGTTTCTTCTCAACGAAATATCACTACCAAGTCATCTTTGTCCATGCTTGAATAAATCCCCCTAAGGATTCATAATATCTTTTGTCCTTCTCTTCATATATAAAAGAAAATTCCATTTTTATCATTACCTGGAAATCTTTAAGGCAATTCCATTCCTGAACTCCCAAACCTTTTTATAAATCTCAATAGACGTTCCCCATGCAATTCCACTTCCACTTGAAACAAAACTAAAATTCATTAACAAATTACTAGCATACTATATTGCTAAATTAAAACTCTAAAATGGCTAAAGAAACTACGGCAACAGATTTACTAAATCTAACCTATCAACACTTACAATCCGCGGATCAATCTTCTCGAATCTGGTGTATTCAAAGCGCTCTCAAAGAAATCCCTACATTCGACGGTGAAGAACCCCCACTACCAGTCTTTTTACAACGTTTAGAAAATGGTCTAACACTAATAGGATCTCAGGATGAAGGCCTCTATTTAACCGCGGTTTTAACCAAATTAACAGGAGCCGCGCGTGCTAGTGTGGAAGGTAAAGGCTTCATTACTCGCCGAGACTGTATTCGTCCTTTAAAGAAAATATTCGCACCTTATAAAAATTATGCTTCCGCCCTCAAGGAAGTAAAACATTTAGAAATTCGCGAGAATGAATCGATCCGACAATATATCAATAGAACTAGCCAGTTAGGAAGAAAAGCCAAAACTGTAATTCTCGATTCAGACGAACAGGAAACTAAGAATTGTAAAGAGAATCTCGATACGTCGTTACTCTCACATTTTATTTGCGGCCTTCCAGTGGACGCCATACCTTTTGTCGTTGTTCGTCAACCTAAAACATTAGACGAAGCTTTTGAAACCGCTTTAGAAATCGAAGAAATCCGTCAAGAAAGGAGAGTTTCTTATGAGTCTCCAGGAAGGGAAGATTACAGGCGTGACTATAGAGATCATAGCTATAGGGATTACAGAAGCCCCCTTAGAGAATCACGTTATGAACAATTCGAAAGGAATATCCGAAAGTACGTTAGCTATCCACAATCACCCCGTGCATATGATAGTGTTTAGGATACGCTCCGCGGAGAAAGTCCGTCCGCCTGGACCGCACATGTCGCTCGAGGGTTTTCCGAATTTGGCTGTCTTTTGGGTAAGGGCGGCCATAAGTTATCTCCAATGACCGACGTAAATCGGAGAGAGTCCTCGAGGAGGGTTAAACTCAGCGAGGGCCTCTTTACTGGTTTATTGTTTGGTGACGGAGACGTGCTTGAAAAATTCTACGGAGTTTTAAGCAACCCTCTTTAGGGAATTTATGGGCGCACTTCTGCGAACTACCCTGCGATCGGAAACTCACTCGGTGATAATGTTGCTCCCCACCCGAAGGCAAGACGCAGGGGAAGCGTCTTGGTTAACAACCAAGAAGAACAGTTCAACTCAGGCTTCGGTTAACTCAGGACGTCATCGGGACGCTCCTTCACGGCTTCATTTTGGCTATTTCGGCTAATCACGGCTTTTACGGCTCTCTCACGGCTAGGCTCGTCATACTTGACAGCCTCTCTAGACTAGTAAGCTAACTTCTTGCGCTAGTCCGCGATCCAAGACGGATACTCGTTAGTTTTATTCACTCGCGTGAACGATAATTAGAACAACTTCATTTCGCGGATCCCGATCGGATTTAAGTTCGGTCAAGATCTCGCCCCACGCGGTCTAATAAATCGCGTACGGAACATTTTGGTCCTTCGAGCCGGATCGAGCGCGAGTGAGTGAACCATCGATGCCGTCAGACGGGTTTTTTGGGAACGATAAGTCCACGGGTTAGGACTTCGGACTACGGATTTTTGGGGACCACCCTCGGTGCAGTGCAAAGGTGACGTGTGTGTCGATCAGCAGCATGGAGGCGATTTTGAGGCAACAGCAGGAAGCCATCGCCTATTTCAGCCGCATCCCTGAGAATCTGCGGAAGCTGGCGACCAGTCGACGCACACCGAGCTACCTGGAGCCACGACTGGGGTCACTGGAGGAACAGTGGCAGGCCTTTACAAGGCGCCACTACGAGCTGGTGGCCTTACGGGACCCGAGGGCGGACCCACCAGCCTACGTGACGGAAGGCCATTTCGAAACGGCCCAGGATCTGTACTGTGACGCAAAAGGGGCGATCACGGACATGATCAAGGCGCTAACTCCTCGGCGAGAGGACCACGTGGCTGGTGGAAGCCAAGAGGGCTCGGTGACGGCTCCTACGCCTACCCCGAGTATGGCATCGGCATCGCTGCGCCTAGCTCGCATCGATGTCCCACACTTCTCCGGGGACTACCTCAAATGGGTGCACTTCAGGGACATGTTCACGTCCCTAGTGCGTGAACACACTGGGTTGAGCGAGGTCCAGAAGCTCCACCACCTAATGGTCAGCCTCGAAGGGGAGGCTAAGGAGCTGCTAGTGAACCTGGAAATCACGGCAGCTAACTACGAGACGGCTTGGGATCGGTTGGTCGCGCGCTACGAAAATAAGAAGGCACTCGTGGCGGCCAACCTCTACACGATCACAAGCCTCAAAAGGATGGCATCGGACACCCCGGCGGAGTTGAAGAGGATCTCGAACACATTCACCTCCGCAGTGGACGCGCTCGCCAACCTGGGGCAGCCAGTAATCCACTGGGATGCCATGTTGGTCCACCAAATGGAGCAGCGGCTGGATGAAGCGGCGATGGCGGATTGGGCTGACTCACACTCGAGCAACACGGAGGTACCAACATTTAAGGCTATGCAGGGATTCCTCGAGGCTCGCATCCGGGCGAGGGAGTCGGTCACGCGGGGTCGGGACGCAGGTAACAAACCGCGTACCGGGGGCCCGATCACGGGAATTCGGAAGGGGCGCGACCCGCCGGGGGTTCGCGCTCACGCGGCAGTGGCAAAGGACACGAAGTGCCTTCTATGCTCGGGAGTGCACGCGCTCTTTACATGTCCGTCGTTCAAGGACCTTTCCGTAGGCCAACGACGCGATACAGTGGCACGAAATCGGCTGTGCTACAATTGTCTAAGCGCGAGACATCCGGTGCGCGCGTGCCAATCGCAGGTACGCTGCCGCACCTGCAACGGGGTACATCATACCCTTTTGCACGAGGGAAGGGGCTCGGCGCTTCGGACCGACAACCAACCGGCCGTGCAGGACACCACGGAGGAGTCAGGTACCGAACAGACAGTCGCGAGTGCCAGCCAGGTAACGCGCGGCGCGGTTAAGGGCAATACGGTGCGGGCGCGACCGGTCCTGCTAGCCACGGCCATCGTGACCGTGGAGACGGCTTCGGGGCGGCAGATGCGCGTAAAGGCCTTAATCGATCAGGGATCGGAAGTCTCCTTGATTTCCGAATCGGTAGCTCAACACTTGCAGTTGCCGCGGAAGGCAACCTGTATCTCAATAGTCGGCGTGGGGGGTAGCGAGGGATGCGCCGTAAAAGGTTCGACGAACCTCCGAGTCCGGTCGCAGGTAGACCCAGGGTTCACGCTCGAACTGCGAGCCCTGGTGCTACCCCGGCTAACGGCGCACCTCCCGACGCAGCAGGTGGCCACCGGGAATTGGCCTCATTTAACGGGACTCGCCCTCGCCGACCCGGATTACGCGGCGCGGTCGAAAATCGACTTGCTACTAGGGGCCGATGTCTACGGGGACATCCTCCTGGAAGGCTTACGGAAGGGCTGCGCGGGCGCCCCGCTCGCGCAACAAACAGCCGTAGGATGGGTGCTGTCAGGACCGACCGGCGGGACGACGTACGAGACGACCGGACCAACAACGGCGCAATCCTTCCAGTGCACCTCGCAGAAAGGATTGTACAAGGCGCTGCAGCGGTTCTGGGAGTTAGAGGAGGCTCCCACCCGCCAGTACAGCCTCACCGCTGAGGAGACCGCCTGCGAGGATCACTACGCCCGCACGGTGAGAAGGGACGGGGATGGACGGTACGTGGTCCGGCTACCGTTTAAGACCTCCCCGACAACGGACTTGTGCACCTCGCGATACGGTGCGATGCGGATGTACGAGCGTAATGAACGACGGTTCATTACCGATCCTGGGATGGCGGAGTCATACCGCCAATTTATGGAGGAATACATCCGACTAGGGCACATGGGACCGACGGCGGGCGGAATTCGGGGGTACTACCTGCCGCACCACGCGGTCATAAAGGACTCGAGCACGACCACTAAGCTGAGGGTCGTGTTCAATGCCTCGCACGCAGCGCTGAATGGGAAGTCGCTCAACGACTTACTGCATGCGGGGCCCAAACTCCAGGCCGAACTGAGCGACGTCCTACTACGTTGGCGACGACACCCAGTCGTCTTCTCGGCCGACATCGAGAAGATGTTTCGGCAAATCTGGACTCACCCGGACGACTGTGAATTCCAGCGGGTGCTATGGCGGGCGGAGGGTGCCACTCAGGTAGCGACGTATCGCTTGCGGACCGTTACTTACGGTACCGCTTGTGCGCCCTACCTGGCCATTCGTACCTTGCGGCAATTAGCCCAAGACGAGGAGGCTCAATACCCGCTGGGTTCGGCAATCGTCCGGGAGGATTTCTATATGGATGACGTCCTCTCGGGAGCAGACACGGTGGAAGGGGCCGTCGACCGACGGCAGCAGCTTCAAGGGTTCATGGCCTCAGGAGGGTTCACCCTGAGGAAATGGACATCCAATCAGACCGCTGTGCTAGCGGGCGTACCCCCCGAACTTCGGGAGACGGGAGTGGAGCTCCAGTTGCAGGAGGACACCACGCTAAGGATGCTGGGGCTGAGATGGCAACCCGCTAATGACCATTTCAGGTTCCAGGTACATCCGCAACCATCCTGTGGGCGGTGGACGAAGAGGGCGGTGCTGTCGGACATAGCCCGACTCTTTGACCCCCTAGGGTGGCTGGCGCCGGTCGTGGTGACCGCGAAGGTAATCCTGCAGCGGCTGTGGCTCACAGGGACCGGATGGGACGAGCCGATCCCGCCGGCGGAATCCACGGCTTGGGAGGCGTTCCGGGGGCAACTGGTGGATATCGAGGCGATATCCATCCCTCGGTGGATCGGGGCGACGTCCGTCGAGCTGACCACGCAGTGCGAGCTGCACGGCTTCTCCGACGCCTCGGAACGAGCCTACGCGGCGGCTGTATACCTGCGCGTCACCAAGGGAGGTGGCGCGGCCCAGGTTACCCTGTTGACGGCAAAAACAAAGGTTGCGCCGGTCAAAAGGGTGTCGCTTCCACGCCTGGAGCTGTGCGGTGCGGCTCTCCTCGCCCGTCTGGTACGCCATCTGAGGGGGACCCTACGATTGGAGTCGGTACCAATCCACCTCTGGACCGACTCGACCATCGTCTTGGCCTGGTTACGGGGACACGCATCGCAATGGAAGACGTTCGTGTCGAATCGCGTAGGAGAGATCCAGACCGCGCTGCCGGGGTCAGAGTGGCATCACGTCCCAGGCGAGGAGAACCCAGCAGACTGCGCCACGCGAGGCCTGACGCCACGCGAACTACGAGAACATCATCTGTGGTGGAGTGGGCCGACCTGGCTTACCGGGGACCCAACTTTATGGCCCGGCGCCAACGTAACGGTCGAACCGACCGACCTGGAGGCCCGGCCGGCACCTGTCGGCGTCAACCTCGGCCAGGTACCTGCCACGGACCTGCTGGCAAGGTTTTCCACCCTGCACAGGTTGCTGCGGGTTACGGCCTGGTGTCATCGCTTCGGGACAAATTGCCGGCGGTCAGCTGACGACCGTGCGAAGGGACCATTGACCCCGGAGGAGCTTGCTCAGATCCGTCGACACTGGGTCCGGATCGCGCAGCTCCAAGGCTTCCCGGATGAGATCGGGCGTCTCCAGGGGAAGAAGGGAGTATCACTGAAGAGCGCCATACTAAAATTCGGTCCCTTTTTAGATGATCAAGGGATGCTGCGAGTTGGAGGCCGCCTGCAACATTCGCTTCTCGCGTATGACGAGAAGCACCCGATCCTCCTCCCGGGAAAGCACCGATTCGCAACCCTCGTCATCGGCCAGGCGCACAGGGCTGTACTGCACGGAGGGACGCAAATGACACTGGGCTACCTGCGGTGGACCTTCTGGATCGTAGGGTGGCGTACCAGGGTACGGCAATACATCCACCGGTGTATCGCCTGCCTGAGGCAACGAGCGGCACTCACGACGCCGCTCATGGGATCGCTTCCACCAGCACGGGTGCGTCCAGCTCGCCCGTTCCTGCACACAGGGGTGGATTACGCGGGGCCGGTGCAGCTGCGGACGAGCAAGGGGCGAGGACAGCGGACGTACAAGGGGTACATCGCCCTTTTCGTCTGCCTGGCAACCCGGGCCGTTCACTTGGAGGTGGTCTCGGACTACTCCAGTGAAGGGTTCCTCGCGGCGTACAGGAGATTCACCGCACGGCGGGGAATTTGTGATACCCTGTACAGCGATCAAGGGACAAATTTCATCGGGGCGGACAGGGAGCTGGCCGCCATGTTTAAAGCCTCGGCCAAGGAGAGGCAGGACATCGTAGCCACCTTGGCGAACGATGGCGCCAGGTGGCGCTTCAACCCACCAGCGGCTCCACACTTCGGGGGACTATGGGAGGCTGGGGTGAAGTCCGTCAAGCACCACCTTCGGCGAGTGATCGGCGAGGCGACACTCACGTACGAGGAGTTCGCCACCTTCCTCACGCAGGTAGAGGCCTGCCTCAACTCCCGGCCACTACGGGAGCTCACGGACGATCCAGAGGACTTGACCGCGCTGACCCCAGGACATCTGCTGATCGGGGCCCCGCTGACAACGGTGCCCGAACCCTCCCTCCTAGAGGTCTCGATGAACCGTCTCAGTCGGTGGCAACTACTGAGACGGATGTATGAGCATTTCTGGGATCGATGGTCTCGGGAGTACCTGCGGGACCTCCATACAAGGAGTAAATGGAAGACGCGGTCCACCCCGGTCCGGGTTGGCGACATGGCGCTGCTCAAGGACGAGCGCTTGCCACCGACCAAGTGGCCGCTGGTCCGGATCGTCGAGACCCACCCGGGACCCGACGGTGAAGTACGGGTTGTGACAGTACGCACACGGGACTCAACGCTCAAACGACCGGTAGTGAAACTGTGCCTCCTACCGGAGGATATAACGACAAGAGCGTGAGCTTGAGGACACTGCATGGCGGGCGGTGCATTAGGACAATAAGGCTAAAGACAATAAGACTAAGGACACTAAGGCTAAGGACACTGAAACTAAGGACACTAAGGCTAAGGATTAGGATTAGGCTAGGATAAGGCATAATTCTCTCAGGGTTATTAATTCGTCGTAATGACGAGGCGGGCGGAATGTTTAGGATACGCTCCGCGGAGAAAGTCCGTCCGCCTGGACCGCACATGTCGCTCGAGGGTTTTCCGAATTTGGCTGTCTTTTGGGTAAGGGCGGCCATAAGTTATCTCCAATGACCGACGTAAATCGGAGAGAGTCCTCGAGGAGGGTTAAACTCAGCGAGGGCCTCTTTACTGGTTTATTGTTTGGTGACGGAGACGTGCTTGAAAAATTCTACGGAGTTTTAAGCAACCCTCTTTAGGGAATTTATGGGCGCACTTCTGCGAACTACCCTGCGATCGGAAACTCACTCGGTGATAATGTTGCTCCCCACCCGAAGGCAAGACGCAGGGGAAGCGTCTTGGTTAACAACCAAGAAGAACAGTTCAACTCAGGCTTCGGTTAACTCAGGACGTCATCGGGACGCTCCTTCACGGCTTCATTTTGGCTATTTCGGCTAATCACGGCTTTTACGGCTCTCTCACGGCTAGGCTCGTCATACTTGACAGCCTCTCTAGACTAGTAAGCTAACTTCTTGCGCTAGTCCGCGATCCAAGACGGATACTCGTTAGTTTTATTCACTCGCGTGAACGATAATTAGAACAACTTCATTTCGCGGATCCCGATCGGATTTAAGTTCGGTCAAGATCTCGCCCCACGCGGTCTAATAAATCGCGTACGGAACAGATAGATATCCGAGACACTAATACGAACGCTCACACTACGACCGGGACTTTAGTCCCGGGCCGGAGCACGTGTACAGTTCGCCGCATCAGTAACTACCGTTATTGCCCTCCGAAGACGAGCTCGCACAAGCCCTTGCGAAGTTTCTACACCAACGTAGGTCTAGATCACCTACACCACGGTACTCAAGGAATGACCGTAATTCGAGTACACTTCACACCCTGATTAACGAAATAGAAAAACAATTTCCACCTCGTACGCCTTCACCACCTCGAATTGATAATCAACGGAATTTTAGGCCCATGCGTTCAAGGAGTCCCACTCCTGACCTTCAACCCCAATCAGAAAGAAACCCTATAACCTATTGCAGGAACTGCAGAAACCCATCTCATTACGGGTATTGCAATCCACCTTCGGATTTCCGCTCTCGATCTCCCTCACACGGTCCACCATCTAAAGAAACATTAACCAGTTAACTGTGTCGACCTATTTGAAACGTGTGTTTTCATGACGAGTATACTCGTCAAACACAGCTAACTGGTTAAGGAATTCTACTCCCATAAGAAATATGAGCCCTCGAAGATCAGACCATTTAAACGCCGAAGGCGCTCGCCGAGTCTCCAACGAGGCGAGCGCTATCCCAATCCCCGAAACGTGACATTCGCGGACTCAAAGATAAGCAACCAGAATGCATGGTCGGAAAAGCACCATCACCTAGAATCACGATTCGAGCGCCCGAATTAAAAGGCGGTCAAGGAACTTTTGTCATAGACAGTGATTCCTCCGTGAATATTGTCCATCTCGAAGCCTTAAGCGATTTAGCACCCATGACTTCGACCGAAAAACTTCCCATTAGAGGTATCACCGGAAATATGACATCAGCTCTAGATACTACCACCCTTTCAATGGGCCATTGCAAAGCAACCTTCTATGTCATGGAAGAATCCGTACTATCATGTGACGGATTACTCGGAAATGCATACCTAACCTAAGAAAAAGCCGAAATTTCATATAATCTAAACACTATGGTAATTGCTAGTGAACCCATTAGACCTTTAACTTTTGACAACATAAGCGAATTCGATCAACTGCAGGACGAATTTTCCGAAATCAAACAAACAATCAGAGCTCGAACTAGGCAACAAATAAAATTCCCCGTCATAAATTCCGAATTAGAAGAAGGATATCTACCAAGAGTACCCTCTCCTAGAGGAGTATATACAGGAGAAGCAGTCGTAACTGTATCTAACGGATTTTGTCACGTACTCGCTACCAATACAACCGAGGAAGACATCGACATCGAAATACTACCACAGTATCTAACTCCTTGCGATTTCTTTTATTTCTCGGATGATGAATTTGACACCGACACTCAGCAAAATACTATCACTGATACTCGTCAGCGTACGGAAAACATCAAAAACATTTTGAAATTAGATCACTTAAATCCGGATGAGAAAAACCACGTTTTACAGATTGTACATGAATTCCCAGATTGCTTCCATTTGGCTGGAGATAAATTAGGAATGTCTAAAACCATCACACATTCGATCCCCACTATGGATGACAATCCAGTACATACAAAACAGTACCGATACCCACCTATCCACCAAGAGGAAATTAAGAAACAAATAGCAAATTTAATAGGAAACGACATTATTCAACCTTCAAGTTCCCCGTACAATTCACCCTTGTGGATTGTCCCTAAGAAACCCGATTCTAAGGAAAACAAACGCTGGCGCATGGTCATAGATTTTCGAGCCCTAAATGAAAAAACTATTGGCGACAGTTATCCATTACCCTGTATCACTGAAATATTGGATCGCATGGGAGGCGCGAAATATTTATCAGTTTTCGATCTAGCAAGCGGTTTCCACCAAATACGCATGGATCCCAAAGATCGTGCTAAAACTGCATTTACAACCCCCAACGGACATTACGAATACACTCGAATGCCATTCGGACTCAAGAATGCGCCCGCAACTTTTCAACGGTTAATGGATCAAGTATTAACAGGATTACAGGGAACCGAACTTTTCGTTTACTTGGATGATAGTGTAATATACGCATCTTCGCCCCAAGAACACGACGTTAAAATTAAGAATTTGCTTAATAGATTAAAGGAACATGGTTTAACGTTGAAAAGAAGTAACTTATTTAGGACACATTATTACATCCAATGGAGTTCGTCCGGACCCTTCTAAATTAACAGCTGTAAGAAACTTCCCTGTTCCGAAAAACGCTAAAAACATAAAACAATTTCTCGGACTAGCAGGTTATTACAGACGCTTTATTCCAGACTTTTCCAAAATAGCTAAACCTATGACAGATTTACTAAAGAAAGACGTTAAATTTATTTGGACAGCAAAACAACAAGAAAGTTTTGATAATTTAAAAGAAAAATTATGCAATGAACCAATTCTTCAATTTCCAAATTTCAACGAACCATTCGTAGTAACTACCGATGCATCCGACTATGCAGTTGGAGCCATATTAAGTCAATGAAAAATTGGACAAGACTTGCCCATTGCTTACGCATCTCGAACATTAAATTCTGCTGAAAGAAATTATTCTACTACCGAAAAGGAATGCCTAGCCATAATATACGCAGTGGCATATTTTCGACCTTATCTCTACGGACGAAAATTCGTTTTGGTAACTGACCATCGACCTCTCGTATGGCTACATTCAGTAAAAGACCCTAGTTCACGATTAATGCGTTGGAAATTAAAATTAGCGGACTTTGAATACACCGTCATATACAAATCTGGAAAAACAAATTTAAACACAGATGCTCTATCTAGGAATCCGGTTGTCTCTTTTCTAGTTAATTTTTCTCATCGAAATTTTCGCCATAATTACAACGACTCTTCCTCCGAAACTGACACAGACGATATCGAATTTCGACCAAACATTCGCAGAACCAAGAAATATTTTCGCAAACGATCAACGGTTAATTCCTTACCAATTTTACCCTACGATGAAGATCCTGAGTATAAACCACCTCAGCACATCGCACGTCAAGCTATCTTATCTCCCACACGAACACGTAGACAATTAGCACCCGTAACCTACCGAGAGTCAAGTTCCAGCGCTATCGAGACAGAAGCCGAGAATGACGATAACGAATCTCGAAATGAAAAAAGCATGCTTCCATCCCTATCCACCGAAAAAACTCTCGAGGATCCTTCTGAACCTAAAGAATTCAATTGAAATATTTGTCCCCTACATTGGTAATTTTATTGCAAAACATTTGTTCTGAAAATATTCCGGCTCACGGTCAAACAATGGTAATTAGCAAAATTTCAATACATCGGTAAACACTGAATATGCGAGTCGTGAACGACGTGAATCGCACGAGTCGGCGAAAGATGAAAACAATGAGATTAACACGTTCCCTGCCGCGTGGGGCGTATGCGCCCCACGCTGAACTTTCCGTTCAAGCCATTTGGTATTATCATTGTAAAATGAAGAATTTTTTAAAAATTCATTATGCAGTCAATTATGGGCATCTTAATACTATTGCTGATGCGCTCATTTGATCGTGGGGCGTATACGCCCCACGCGGCCTGAACGAAAAGTCTTCAATAAACGGTCTGGCAGGGAACGTGTTAAAGTACATTGTTGTTTCGAAGCGACGAGTGCGGAGCATCAGGCACGCGCTAGTGTCA